GACAAACTTCCCATGCCGGGAGAGGTAAACTTTGTTGTTGACAGGAACTTGACATTGGTAACAATGATACTGAATGGAGTAGCAAAGAAAGACACATGGAGAGAAGATGCGTTTGAGTTTGTGGTTGGAGTAGGGGCAAAACCACACATTTGGGGGTGGGGGAGGGGGGTTGCTTTGGTTTTCGTAATTGGCCAGGGCAGAGGGTGCGATGAGAAAAAGAGAGAGGGGGGGATGGAGTAGGGTTTGCTCGTGTGAGCAGTTATAGGCTCGATACAATATAGATATTTGAGGCATAAGTGATTGTATTGTTCTTCACACACACACACACACAAGTGTAGCAACTTACCACAATAGAGGACACAGAAAGAGTCAATATATGAAAAATCAATAGCTACATAATATACACATTAATGAAAAGAATACCAAAGAGTCACCTTTGCATGCTTCCTCAGGTTCCTGTTTGCAAGTTTTTTTTTAACGTAATGTCACTTCCATTTTTTGTTTTCTCAATTTTGTTTCATGGAATCATTGAGGGAAGCAAATGTTGGGCAACAAATCAGGACATGTTTTTGTCTTAACTTTATTTTATTTATAGTGTCTACTGCCCCTGCATATACATGCATATGAAGCTCCTTTTATTTATATTAATCTTTTCATCTTTTTCTCACAATGGGTATGCAGATGAAAGGCGAGAAGGAATTTATTGAGAAAATATTGAACACGGAGATCAATTTTTTCTGAGCTATTAGAGATGGGAGTGCACTGATGCAGCATATGGAGGATTTCTATTATATTACCCTATTGGAGGTATAGTACCACATTTCTTCAACCACATTCAATGCAAATTTTCAAATAATCTTCCAAAGTTGCCCACATATACTAGTATTTTTTAATTTTTATTAAATGCTCTTGTATCTTGAAGTAGGGGTAAGGTCTGCGAACACACACATTCAACTGTGTTGTTGTTGCTTTTGTATCCTGAAAATCAGGGAAAAAGTTAATACATAGATGAGTCATCTTATATGCCTCCGATTTCTCATCTGAAATGACAATTTTAGGGGAAGAGGGAGTATCTATATGGAACATTTTGGTAACATTCTTTTTCATCATTTTGCTATAGCATATTAAGAGCTTGTTCTCTTCGCCCAATCTGATTTTATTAAGGTCTGATCTGATTTGGTGATCTGATTAAAGTTATATTTGAAATTGTTTCTGATCTGATTTGATTCCAATATGAATAAGTAATAAGTAATAAGAATAAGTTGAAAAGAACAAGCTCTAAGTTTCTAGACTTTCTTACACACATAATACAATAATAGTCTGGATAGGAAGAACTCAAAAGGAGATGCCTTGAATCAAGGCCCGTGACTAAATCTTTAATGATGCACCAAACAACAATATCTTTCTCTTTAGCCTTTGGCTTTGCAAGCTATCTCCGTGGTAAAACCTTCTTGATGTAACAGCCACAGAGTCTATATATTTTTAAATTTCTGTTCTGATATTTGGTTGCAAATCCTACTACCATACAAGTGATACCACTTGACTTGTTATTATATCTAGTTATTTTATGGGTCTTTTTTGCGTGTGTACTCTCACTTAGCATATGAAACATTTCAGATTAAGTACAAGAGTTTTGATAAAGTTGAAGAGAGAAAGTGGTGGCACATTCCAATAATTACAGAACTTCTTGAGAAGAATGGTCTTGAATCTGCACTGAAGACAGTT